CATTTATTCGAGTTAGGTTGTACCTCCTCAGTAACATCCTTGGCTCTACCAGCAGTCACCTCAGCTCTTTTAGTTGTAGGCTCATCATTCTTGCTTTTCATGACATCGTCAGCTTTTAGCTCCTTCACAATGCAGTTTTTCAAGTAGAACTTTACATCGGTGAAGTGTGACTCAACCTCAGTAAATGGCTCATCATAAGCAACTATCTTCTTCTCAACTTCAACCTCGTAGTATTTTAAACATTAATGGTAGGTAGATGGAACTACTTTATTCTCATGTATCCAAGGCCTTCCAAGCAAGACGTTTTATGAAGTCTTTGCATCGATCACATGCAACCATGCACTTGATTGCATATCTTCAATGGTGATTCCTAACCTGATCGCACCTATGTCTCTTTGCCCCCCCTTGGCTGAATCCTTGAATCGTCACATGACTTTCTGAGAGTTTGTTCATGGGAATGCCGAGTTCTTTCACAGTGAGAACTGGCAAGATGTTCACTGAGTATCCTCCGTCAACCAAAATTTGATTTGCTCTTTCATTGCGCATATAGCTAACCAGGTATAATGGGCACTTTTGAAGAGTGTCACCCAGTAGAAGATCGCCATTCATGAACGTAACTTTTTCCTCACAAGCATTAACTTCTTAATGAGTGGACTCGATGAGTTTTTCCGAAGATGGTGCCAACGGTAGGTCATCACTCATTTCTTCCCCTTTGTTAGCATGGCAACAAGAGGCATCAATACCCATATGGAAAATCTTCGTGCAGAACCAACTTGGTAAAAACTCCTCCAAGGTCACTAGATGTCGTGGCTTTTGAGGGTGGTGCACCTCCACTTTTGCTTTCTTTAAATGCTTTACTGGATTTCATCTCCTCGGTATTTTCACCAATATTTTCCTTGTTGGTTGTTCCATTAATCTTTTTCGTGGGCTCCTTTTGTGGCGCCTACGACGAGTCACCAACGTCCAACCTTCATCATCATTAGGTTGATCGTGTTCAACTTTGTTGTTTTCTGGTAATTCTTCATCTTTACTTTCTTTAAAACTACATAATTCATCTGGCCTGAATGAGCCAAATGTGATAGAGACTTGGTTTGTACTTGCTTTCTCATCTTCAAGCACGATATTCTTTTCACAAGCCAAGTCCATAACTTTGTCCTTGAAGACAAAGCACTTCTCCAGAGGGTGGCTCACAAGTCGATGATATTTGTAGTAATTTGGGTCATCTGTTTTCCCAACTTCATTTGGCCGCTTCATCTCCGGAAGCTCAATGAGATTTAACTCAAGGAGTTCTTTGAAAATGGCTGGGACATCGGAATCCAGAAATGGGTACTCTTTCTCTTGCATTTCTTTTAGAGTCAACTTTCCACTTGGTTTATCTTGAAAAGAAGTGGATTTCATACTCTACTTCTTGCTCACTTTTGTCTTGAACTTCACAGGTGATGTGTTGACATTCATTGCTTCTTTCTTTCAGACTTGGGTGCGAACTTTCCCCACTTTCTAACTTCTTGCTTGTCGTTCCCTTTGTGAGGTTCATAGATGGGCAGCCTTTCATTTCCAGTGGAGGCCATGCTCAATTCCATGTCATAGGTACGAGTTGCAAGTTCTTCAAATGTGCTAGGCTTGATATGTTGCAAGATGTAGCACAATCCCCAAAGCATGCCTTGGATGCACATCTCTATGCCAGAATCTTCACTAAGCCTGCCTTTACAATTGAGGCTTGCATTCCTCCAACGATTGATAAAGTCGTTAACTGGTTCACCCTTCCGTTGACGAGCATTTGTGAGTTCCACCATGCTCACAGTGCACCTTGTGCTATAAAAGCGATTGAGAAACTCTTGCTCTAGTTGATCCCAGCTATCAATAGATCCTGCCTCGAGGTCTATATACCAATCAAAAGCAATTCATTTTAGCAATCAGACAAAGTGTTTGACGAGGTCTATATACGAAGTGCGCCACATGTTGCTTTGGATTGCCTTTACCATCAAACTGTTGAAACTTTGGAGGTTGATAAACAACGGGCATCTTCAACATATCGATCCTTGCAGTGTACGACTTTACGTATATAAGGGAGGACTTGGTAGCAACTTCATACTTATTCTTAATAGTTCCTTCAATGATCTCATTCATTTGATCGATAGGAATCATCCCTTCATATGAGACAGGGATAGCCTTAGCAGATGCTACTCGTCTTGGGGGAGAATCAATCTCTGGAACTTCTATAAGCTTTCCAGGTGTATGGGTGGATTTTTCTTCAATCAAGATTCTCACCCTGAATGTTAGCTTGTCAATTCTAGCATCTTAATTTTGCATGCACTTGGTCAAGCCAGCGATTGCTTTCGTCAAGTTTACCACCTACTCTTCCACAAATGAAGTGTTTGTCACTATGGCTTGCATGATTGTTGTAGATGATGGGGAGTAGCATGGATTGTCACACAGATTGATTCTCGAATAGCTCACGCTATGCGGTGTAAGTGGGGAGGATCCATCACTTGAAGCATGATCATCTTCCTTCACAGCAGAGTTCTTAGATCTGGAGAGGTCAAGCATAGCAAGAGTTTTCTTGATCTTTTCAACAACATTGCTTCCTCATTCGGGTGCGTTTGTGGAAGATCTTGCTCCTTTTGAGAATGAAGATCCAAAAACAGGGGTTGATACGGACGACACTTGGAGTGCTTTTTGTCCTAAAAAACTTGCTTTGCTCCTCGTAACTAGTCTGAAGCTTCCAAAGGTAACATCGAGGATGATTTCCACATCAGCATAGAACATAGAGTTAGCAGCCTCGGTGGATATTGATCTGGAGTTGATTTTCTTTGAAGCCATTTCAACATTCTTGGACTTTGGTGATTGAAAAGTTGAGATGAGAGATAGAAATTGTCCTACTGGGTATGACAGAATTTGTAGACAATAAATTTGCGTCGAGAAAATAAAATCAAGACCGAAAAAATATTGCAACAATTGTAGTATTTTATTTCAAATATTTAAGTGTTACAATCTCTATGAATCCTCTAATTCTACTTTTCAACAATAAATAAAAGAGCCTTCGAGCTTAATCTTGAATTTTATTTTATTTTAATCCAAGCTTGAGGTATGATCTTGATCTTGACCTATTTTTAATCCAAGGGTTTGCAGCTTGTTTTTGAATCTTCGTCTTGATCTTTTAATCCTTAGAATACTTGAATGCTTATAGCTTTTAGAGAAATCTGCAGCATTTGATCCACGAGTTCCCTCTTGCTTCTTGTTATAACTTCTGGTGTCTTTTCTGAGTTATGAAGACCCCTATTTATAGTTGTGGGAGGGAAGAGTTAGGATAAGAACAAACTCTTTCCGACCAATCAAATTGAAGTGAGACAAGGTCGCATTTGATTGGCCAGAACATGTCACTTGCACACGTGGCGCAGTTTTATTGGCCCTTTAATTTGACTTGGCATGCCTTGTCATTTTGTCACGTGGCACAATTCTATTGGCTCTTCCGTTGACTTGGCGTGTCATGTCAAATGACGTGGCACCAAACTGGGCCTCTAAGAAGATGACATCTTGGGCTTAATGAAGTGGGTTCATCACTTTAGCCCTATTAAATGGGTTAGCCTAATGATAAGACTTATTTATTTAATCCATATATGTTGGACTTATATAACTAATCCAATTATATTAGCCCAATAAATTTATTTGGACTAATATATTTAACATATAGCCCGCATTATTTTATCGATTTAAATTCGATAAAATTTAAATGCTTTAGTCCGCATTATTTTATTGATTTATATTCGATAACACTTAAATTCTTACAAACAGGTTTTTTTTTCAATACCTAACCAAATCAAACCAAACCACAAGCGAATCGATTTTTTTTTCAATTTTACTCGGATTATCGGTTTGGTGCGATTTATCGATTTTCTTTGTACACCCCTTAGCGGACGGCAAAGGTATAAATGGTTGAAAAGTACTATACATAAAATTAAAAAAAAAAATCGTATACTAGGGGGTTAATTTGAACATTCTCTATCTATTATTTTTATTTTGGTAATGTTAACTTTAATGTGAAAACCATGTCCTTCAATTATAAAAAAAAAAAAAAAATTGAAAGCAATGAGATCGATATTTATCTATTTAGTAAAGTCAAAACTATCGCATAAACAAAGTATAATTCTAAACCCTCATCTTGCATCTCTTTATAGGTTCCAGAAGGGTCAAAAAGAATAATTTTTTTAAAAACGATTATATTAACCAAAGATTTGAAAAGGGGCAAAGTATTGTTGGTATTGTATTAGCTTTGTCTTAAAACTAATTTTGCTGTTTGATTACAAACCATCAGTATCATCACCAGTACTTCATGAAATAAATGTTCATAAATCATAGTATGAAAAAAAAAATGGTTGTACTAATCCCATTTAAGTTATAATTTCAAATAGGTCCAAAATAGAGTAACTGATTGTAAGCATCCAAATGGGGGGTCCACCATGAATTGGTCTTTGTGGAAATTTCAGTAATCACTTCCACTATCTAAGTACCAAATTCCCAAAATTCTTTTTTTTTTTTTTTTTGGGTCATGTCCCCAATTTTTTTGGATTCTTTCCATTTTGTCTCTTTGCTTTCCAGATCATTTTGGCAAAATTACATCATTCACTGGCAGATACAACTCAATAGGTTAAATACGTTTAATTATCTAATTATTTATTAGAAACATTAAATAATTCTTTCCTTCTTTTTTTTTTTTGGTAGAATGGAATTGATAGTTGTTAAGTGTGAC